GGGTCACAGTTACTCGTCTGCAGTCTCGGGGAGCTCACTTGCTCCGGGGGGGTCGAGTCCTGTCTGTGGGAAGCCAGCGCTCTGCAGGCCTGTGGGTGACATGGCCGTGAGCTCACTCTCCGCCCTCCAGTCCCGCTGTCAGCTCTCACCTTTGCCCTCGCTGCTCATGCTCATGGAGGACGCGTCCGATTGGCTGTCGCTGCCCCGGCTGGAGGGGCGGGGCAGGCTGACCGGAGGGTGAGGAGAGAGGCCGTGGCTGAGCGGGGCAGGGACGAGGGGCAGGGGTGTGAGCGATGGGGGCAGGGGCAGGAAGGAGGTGTACTGGGGCTCGATGTAATAGCCTTTGGGAAACTCGACAGCTGCGGGGGGGAATGGGGCGTGGAGGGGCACGGGCCCGCCCCCCGGAAGAGCAACTGCATCCCGGAGTGGCGAGGGGTAACCACCACCCCCTAGTGGAAAGAACTGAAACTGCACCCGGGGAATTGTCATCATCCTGTTTCCTGGCACGTCCTCTTTCAACCTCTTGTGCTCCTGCTGGGCGTGTTCCTGCGTTTCCACGGGAGACGACCTCCTCTCCGCCTCGGCTGACTGGCTGATTGGAGAACGTGTGGGAGGAGCCACAGCGGTCTGGTGGGACGGACTGGGGGCAGGAGGTGGGGCCACGTGGTGACCAGCAGCCAATGGGGATCGGAGAGGGGCGTGGCCGGGAGACTGGGCCGGCGTTCCTGAGAGAGAAGGAGAGCTGCCGATTGGGAAAGCTACAGGACGTCTTGTGGGACGTCAGTATTTCACACGCTCAGCTGAGATCTTACCATCAGCGCTGTGCTGGTGCGGGGAGGGAGACAGGCTGTGAGGGGATGGGGCATCTGGGGGGGGCTCCAGGGGTTTGGGGTTCAGGTGGCGCCCTCCTTTCCCCCTCAAGACATCAGTGACCTGTGAGAGCAGAGAGATAGAGGAGAGAGCAAGGTGAGTCTCAGATTCCGGAGTCAGTCAGTCTTCTGAAGAGGGTGACGAGAGGAGAGACAGGCGGCGCTGGACACACCCTCTTGTTCTTGGCCACCATCAGCGCCGTGTCGTTGTGGTAGTTCTTCAGGCTGCTGTCCGCGCCGTTCCTGAGCAGCAGACGCACAGCCTCCACCAGGCCCCGGCCACAGGCACTGTGCAGAGCACTGTTCCCCGAGTAGGACTGGGCATTGACACTGGCACCACACTGAGGGACAGAGAGAGGGGTCAATACACCCTGACTGGACACTCCAGTACATTA